TTGTGGTAGAATTTATTGATCATCTTTACATTGGCTTTTGCTTTTTATTTGCCTTTTTCTCTTGCCAAGGATTGTATCAACTCCCTTTGTCTTCCATACCACTTGTGGATCTTGTTTATTTCTTGACCTTGTCTAGTGTTTTCTATATATAGTGAAAGTGGTGATCCCACCTTGTGCATTTTGTATTCAAATGCAAATTCTCTATAATGCACTAGTCTTGGGGGAGCTATCCTATTCTCTATAAAACACTCATCTTGTGACCCTTATCAAGTGTGTGTTTGTGGAAGGCAAGCCGTTTCTTTTGGTACTTTGTGCCATTATGAAACTTTGTAGAGGGCTTGGTTTTTTGGAACCATTCTCTCTTTTGGGAGTTTGACATCTTTATTTTTGTGTGTATCAATGGATATCTCATTCCTTGATGTATCTTTCAATTGATATCTTTCAAGTGATGAGTTATTCATTTGGTATCTTTTCTTCTCTTGGTATTTCTTTGTCATTTGGTATCGGTTCTTGAAAGTCTTGAGCATGCATATTAACTTCGTGTAGTATCTTTGGCATGCTTTCTTTCTTTGACCCAATATATAGGGGAAACTCCACCAAGTCTCAAATTGGATGAGATGTGCATGAAATTCATTTTCGTATCTATATGCACATTTTTATGTGGAGTTTGTCCTATGTATTGTTGGTTCTCTAACTCTTTGGTCCCAATGAGTTTGGGTACCATTTTGTTTGTGTTGTTGTTCTAGGAACAATTGGAGATACATTGGATGCTCGGCTCACTCACAAGGAAGGTGTTGTCATCATGTGCTTATTGGAGTCGAGCTACGATGATCAATGAACTACTATCTACCTTCAATTGGTATCTACCACATCCTTCCAATGTTAACTCGGTAACAAGTATCTTCATATTCTTCATGCACACATTTCTTGCATCAACCTTGTGTACGTTGTATCATGGCATGTTATTCATTCATTCTTGTGATACTTGTTCCCTTTCTCAAAGCATCCCAACAATGATCTCTTGTTGCTAGTTGTGATGTCTTTGATGGGTTTGTGGTAGGAATTCATTTATATACTATAAGACCATATCTAGCCATGTGCTATGCTTCCAAGCAAATATCTTATTGGTATATGTATGACCTCCCTTTGGATATCTTGTTCCTCGTGTTGTAACTATTTCGGGTGTACATCCTTCTTTGTAGATATATATCATCATGATTTTGTCTGCCTAGAATCTTATACACTTGAGAGAAGTTGCATATCTAGTTGATATCCTTTCTTTCACGTCCACCTTGTCTTTCTTATGTTATTTCTTTGGTGGCTCCATGAAAGCTTTTGCCTTGAGTGCGTGTCTTTTATCGTTGCATCTTGATGCACTCTTGTGTGGTGAAGATTATTTTCCTCATGCTTATCTTTACGAGGCTTTTGCCATCTTAATTGGTATCCCTCATCTTGATGAGGCCTTCATCCTCTATCTTCACCATGGGTTGTCACAAGCATAGGTTCTTTATATGCTTATTAGTAAGCTTGTGAATCCATTTGCTAGTTGTGTGTGGGAATGATAGGCCTTGCACCGTGTGCCTCATTCTTTCAAGACTTTATTGATGCTTAATGCTCATCCATACATTAGTCTTCTCAAGTGCATTGCCTTGACTCACACACATCATTTTGGTTGAGCCCATTCTTAAGTTGCCTCTTTTACTTGTTGCTCAACCATGTGTTTGTTGCAAGTACTAGGCTTGGTTTCCTATATGCTCACTTGCACTTATTGTAAGTTTCTATTGATTTTGGGGGAGCTATGATCCTATTTTGTGCACTTTGTATCCAAATATAAATATTCTTATGTGTGCACAAATCATGGGGAGCCTCTCTAGTTTCTTTAGAACACTCCTATGCTCATATCATAATATCCTTTTTTCTTGTGGCTCGTAGGATCTTTGGTCTAGTTGGTTCAATTGATATCCTTTGATTGCTTGCTTCAATTGGTATCTTTTGATCGCTTGATTGCTTGCGTCTCTCTTTGTTATGTCCTTGTGGCATATCTTCCTTTAGCAATCTTGGTGCCTCAATATAGTTGGTCTTCCTCCAAGTATTACCGTTGGATATGTGTATTGCATTCCACTCTCTTGTTGAGAAATACACAATTTATATTGGCATTCTAAGCTTTTCGCCCATTTTGGCAATCGATGCCAATGGGGGAGAAGTTTCAGAGAGTTTTGTGGAGAAGTCTTCAGAGTTTTCTCCTTGCTTTGGTTTTGTTCATAAGCATTTGCATCTCATACACATGCATTATTGGTTGTTGCATTGCTTGGTGATGCATAATTCCTTGTATAAACTCTCTTGAAGGTGATTGTCATCAATTACCAAAATGGGGGAGATTGAAAGAACATGCGGTGCCCCCATGTTTGGTTTTGGTAATTGATGACAATCTCTATGGACTAATGGTTGCCTTGAGTTATATTTGTAGGTTTTGTCCATAGGCTTTTCTTGGAGTACATGTATTGGTTTCAAGGAGAGTTTGTGTCGACCAAGGTGCTATTCAAGGAATTATCGAAAGATTGGTCATTTGAGAGTTGAGCTTATTGCAAGCATGTCTTGAAGAAGAAGATTGTTTGATCATTCATGTTTACCTTCAAGACATCATCCAAATGAAGAGAGTTGGAAAGAATCAAGGTTGATCAAGACTAAGTCAAGAGTGAATCAAGTTGATCAACACACAAAGCGTACAAGATGTACAGAGGGATCAAGTGATCCTATGGTATGGTAAGCATTGTCCATTACGCTTTGTGTACTAACCCATGGTCTTCGTGAGAGTTCTTTGTGGGGTTAGGTTGCGGTGTGCAAATTCAAGTGAAGCATCACGAAGAGATCAAATGCTTGAAGCTTGCCGTCCATTGTGGTGACAATGGACTTGTGAAGATGTGTGGAAGAGTGGCTCACCCATAGTGGAGTATGGGGAGCAATCAAATAGTCTTCATCGAGCCAACGCAATCAAGAAAGGTGGTCCAACTTGAGGGAGTCAAGATCGTCATCATCTAGCTCAAGTGGATCATGTGCAAGGCAAAGGTTTGCCCTTGATAGATTTTCTATTTTACCGGTCTCATGATGGTAGTTGGGAGACCGGGTTATAGGATCGATTGTCGTACTACCAAGGGGGGCTCTCAAGTGAGTAGCTTGATCGTATCATTCGTCGAGAGCTCAAACCATTGCATCCTTACATCATGTTTCTTGGTTCTTGTTTGGTTCTCTTTGTGAGTCTTAGAGCTTATGGTCATCTTGATGACAAGCTTGAGTTCATCGAAAACGGAGTTTGCATGCGTCTTCTATGATGTTTTCGGTGTTGGAGGTTTTACCGGTCTTTTCCGAGAAAGGGTTCTCACCTTTTTCTTTTGGGCCTTTCCCATTTGCTTCTTATTGGTATTTCTTTCAAGATTGTGTTAGCCCTTGTCGCTAGCTTTCCAACAAACTTGGTTTCGTCGAATTCGGAGTCTGTTTGCAGAAGTTGTGGTAGTTTTGGTGTTCTGAAAAGGCTGCAGCGATACTACCGCGGATAGGAGCGGATGTAATTTTTTACTACCGCTCTTGGGAGCGGTACTACCGCTTGGAGAAGTACTACCGTGGCTACTTCCGTGGCTACTTCCGCTCGGGACCAAAAACTCGTCACAAGTCCAGCGGTGGTAGGCACGGATGTAATTTTTTAGTACCGCTCACAAGCAGTAGTACCGCTACCCTTAGCAGTAGTACCGCTACCCCTAGCGGTAGTACCGTGAGGTCAAGCGGTACTACCGCTCCGACGGTTCTTCTGGCTTTTATGAATCCTCGTTGTTGTGTTTCAAAGGGCTACTACCGCCCTAGCGGTAGTACCGCTCCTTGGAGCGGTAGTACCACTCGGTGCGGGCTGTGAGCATAATGGTTGGATTTTTCCCCACCTATAAAAGGGGGTCTTCTTCCCCAATGAACTTTATCCTTTGAGCTCCTGTTCTTTCCCCATTGTTGACCTTCTTCGAGCTTGCTAACTCTCAATCCCTCCAATGATTCTTGCTAGTTCTTGAGGAAAAAGAGAGAGGAGATCTAGATCCGCGTTTCCACCAATCACTTTCTCCTCTAAGTGAGGGGAACCCCTTAGATCTAGATCTTGGAGTTCTTCGTGTTCTTCTTTCGTTCTTCCTCTCATTTTCCTCCCTAGCATTAGTTGCTTTGGTGGGATTTGGGAGAGAAGGACTTGGGCACTCCGTGTGCCCTTGCCATTGCATTTGGTGCATCGGTTTGAGTTCTCCACGGTGATACGTGGAAGTGAAATTTGAGAAGCTTATTACTCTTGGGTGTTTGGACACCCTAGAGCTCGTTCCTCTTGGTGTCTTGGCGCCCTAGACGGTTGGTGTTGTTCGGAGCTCAATCATTGTGGTGTAAAGCTCCGGGCAAGCGTCGGGGTCTCCAATTAGGTTTTGGAGATCGCCCCGAACAATTTGACGGGCTTTGGTGACCACCCCCAAGGGTTGCCAAAGTGTACGGGTTCGGTGACCGCTCCTAAGGGTTGCCATTTGTACGGGTTCGGTGACCGCCCACAAGGGTCCCTTAGTGGAATCACGGCATCTTGCATTGTGTGAGGGCGTGAGGAGATTACGGTGGCCCTAGTGGCTTCTTGGAGAGCATTGTGCCTCCACACCGCTCCAAACGGAGATTACCATCTGCAAGGGTGTGAACTTCGGGATACATCGTCGTCTCCGCGTGCCTCGGTTATCTCTTACCCGAGCTCTTTACTTATGCACTTTACCTTTTGATAGCCATATTGTTTTTGTCATATATCTTGCTATCACCTAGTAGTTTATCTTGCTTAGCCTAAGTTGTTGGTGCACATAGGTGAGCCTAGTTGTTGTAGGTTTTGTGCTTGACAAATTAACCGCTAGGTTTATTCCGCATTTGTTCAAGCCTAAACCGTAATTATTTTAAAGCGCCTATTCATCCCCCCCCCCTCCCTTCTAGGCGACATCCACGATCTTTCACTTGTCCTGCTCCTTGGTGACACTGATGTTGTCGTTATTGTTGAGCAACTGGAACCTGTTGACCTTCTGGACACGAGCACTCCTCAAAACTGTAGCACTTAGTGGCATAAGACTAGAGTGGAAGTAGGCACACGCTACTCTTGTGGGCGGACATACGCCGAGTGCAGATTCTGGTAATTCCATGTTGGTGGCTTGGTCTAAACTTTTTGCAGAACACCTGGAAGACGTTGACGTAGGAACACTTTGGAACATGCTGATGGCACCTGTGTACAGCTTGAAGTGGAGATCACCCAGGCAAACCAATGGGGCGGCCACACTTGGAGCGATTTCGATTGCTGTTGACGCCTCCGCAGCAACAGAGACAAGAGTTGTAGCATTGTCCCCTCCTGGGCTCGCGGTCGAGCAGGTGGCGGCCGACGCGTCAACAGAGTACATGTCGCCCAATGTAGAGGTGTGGGTTGGCATTGAGATATCCATGGCCATGTCGCCCAATGTAGAGGTATGGGTTGGAATGATGGTGGTGGAGATGGCATTGTGCGTGTGGGAGTTCGCTGCTGTTGAGCATGCACCCAAGACGTCCAGTGTGGTGGTCGGCGTCGAGGTCGAGGCCGCTGGCTCGAGGCCGACACAGTAGTGCTCGACGACGTTGATGGTGACCTTGGACGAAGCTGGTGTTGCGGGAGAAGCGGGTGCCGGCACCGACACGATGGCGGCACGGCTTGGGCATTGTGTCGAACATGTGGCGGGCATCCAAGCAGCGAGGACGCTGGCGTCTCTGTTCTCAATTGTCTGGCGCGGCGCATCCTCTTCTTCCTGCTGTTGTTGTTGCTGCGTGAAGGTTGATGCCGATCTCTGAGCAGAGACCACCACGGATGCATCAGAAACAGATGCGTTGTCGTCCGCCAGAGACACAGTTGGGGTTGATGTAGTCGTTGGCGCATGGTCGAGGTACTCGTGGTACCCTGCGCGCGCGGCCCGTAGCGCTTCTGCGACGGCCACCAACACCTCAGATGCCACCTGCGCCGCGATGGCCGGAATACGGGCGGCAAACTCGGCGCGACGCTTGTTGCTCTGGTCCGCACACTTGGTGAGGTAGGACTGCTGGTGGTCCTCCGCCAACGCGAACACGCGATCTCGGCTGGCCGCCGAAGCTGATCCGCGTAGCATTGTTGAACAGGCTGGATGGACGCTCTCTGATCCAGGAAATTTGTTTGGCTTGAATTTGGAGAAGTTAGGGAAATTTTTGTACAACAGAATTTCGTGGCTAAGGATCTATGGCTCTAAATACCAATTGTTAGCAACACACTAGTACAGAGATCAATTGCTCAAGGATTTGAACTACAAGCCATGGATTCACCAAGGTTTAGCTAGTACAGAGGAGGAGGAAGAAGATACATAAGCAGAGGAGGCCGAAGCCGCCCAAATCCTAGCTGAGTAGTCCGTAGCCTGTTCACTTGTATTTGTAGTCGCTGCCTTCCAGCAGCCCAGGCCCAATATGCGCGCCCAATAGTCCAGCCCATGACGAGAGTAGGGGCGGTCGCTAACAAAGAAACAACAAAATTATGGGAGGTTAAGTTTTGGGAGAAGGGCTAGGTGCGGAAGAGTTTTAACTTCTCAGAATGTGAAAAGTTAAGTTTTAAGGGGTCATTTGAGGGTCGCCTCAGAACGTGAACAGAGACGGCGTGGGTTCCTAGTTTTAATTTTTGAGGGATTCCTACATTTATTAAAAGGTCGGAGGAGAAGAGAAGGTAGTAGTATGGATTCTGTGGTAAGTGCAACTGCCGAACAGGAGAATACGATGCGATTGGTAGGCGCCATGCAGGCAAGAAAGAATAAGATAATTGTTCCCGCAAAAAGAAAAACATAATTGTTGGAATACAAAGTTGTGTCTGAGCAATTCCTTGGTTCCCAAATCCATTTTGTTCTCCGAGTATCTGGCCAATCAGTTCACGGCAACAAAAATGTGCCCAAGAGGATCCAACTGCCAATAATCAATCAGTTCTACCACAACGACAGCTGCTTGCAGTGGCGGAGCCAGGAAAATATTATCAGGGGGGCCGAGGCTGTTAGAACTGGTTGGAGAGGGCCAAATCATTGGATAGTAGGTTTTTAGCAGCAAATACTCACTAATTACCCACTGTTCATTAGCTAATTAGCTGCAAATATTGGATGTTAGGGGGGGCCAGGGCCCCTGCTGGTCCCCCCCTGTCTCCGCCACTGGCTGCTTGCCCTTGATACGTACCGAATCCGTTGTCTGAAGCTGAATGATTGTAAGTGGTTGTGACAAGGCATCTTAATGCTCACACCACATTTCTGTTGCCAGTGTTAACAGCTCAAACGGGATGTCCTATCCATCACCCGCCCACTTTTTCGAGATAGGCTTTCGCGCCGCTTTATATGTGAAGCAAATCACCCACCCACTTAGCTGCAAGAATTAATTCTCGGCGTAGTTCGTTCAGTTCAACTGGTCGATCCATCGTATACTCCTTGCCTTGTCAGAGAAACCTGCCTTAATTTCATCAGTGAACCGGTAGAAGAGAGTCACACACACACACACACACACAAGTGCTTCCCATTGGCAGCAGAGATGCATCCATGCATTGGCCTAGCTAATCATTCACACCAGCTAAACAAAGCCTTTGCTGATCTGTGCTGCGCCCCCACAGGAACATCATAATCCTCTTTGACAGGCGTGCTGGTGCCCTGCCTGGACCAGGATGCTCTTTTCTTGCATTATTACTGAAAAAAAAGGAGCAAAAATCATGCTGCTAATTGTAATCTGCTTGCTTTTCAAGTGTGCCATACACCAATTAGCAGCTGCCAATAATGGGTTTCTACCATGTGGAAGCGTCCTTCACAAAAATTAGCAGCCTCCTATCTTTAAGCCGTGGGTTGAGGCCACAAAACCAATTATTAGCTGCCGCATGATGGAAATAGGGCAGCCCCTGAAACGTGGGGCCGACGGGGCTCCCTCTCCGCCTATAAAACTGGCGCGCGCCTCCCCTCCAACCCATCTCTCTCACGCTCACACACCTCTGTTTCTTCATCGTGCCCGCTACTTCAAAGAAGCAAGCACACGTCCTCCATGGACTCCAAGATGTTGCGCTCCGCGGTCATCGCGGCCGCCGTCGCCGTGTCCACGCTCGCGGGGGTCGCCTACGCCGTCGACCCGCCGGCCGCCGCGCCGGGCCCCGGCGGCCACGCCACCTCCGGCGCCGCCGCCCTGTCGTCGTCGTCGATGGTCGCCGCCGTCCTCTGCCCGGCCGTCGCGCTCCTCTTCGCCAACCTGCGCCACTGATGATGATTAAACAAAGGGAACCATGCTGTCAATTAACCGTCGACGTGCGTCGCGCGGATATCGGTCTCGTTGTATTCTTGTACGTCTTTGCTCCTTTGATTTCCGATGATGATGATTGGTCGGTCCGCGCGCTGTACAACCAATTAATGTGAAATTCTATTCATTCGGTTATTAAGGGTTCATGCCAGCATAATATTCATCCTCATCTTTGCTCAAGCCTCAAGAACATTCTGCCAGGCTGCCTTCCACTTTATTTCCTTGTGATTTCGACGTCTTTGCACCCTCAATCGATCTTGGGTGGGTTCAGTTGGGATATAAAGACTTAAAGAGGGAATGTAAAGCTAAGAAAGCAGCTAAAGAAAACAATGGTTGCATGAAAAACAGGATAAAAAGCGTGAAAATATGCAAAGCTAAGAAAGCGGCTGGTTGCCATGCAATGCGATGGCTGTAAAGCAGACGCACATATCCATCAAAAATTCGAAATAGTGCAACCCTGACCTGGCCTTTTCGGTGCTGTTCAACTCATCCCTGAATTCTCTATTCTCCTGTTGCTATTGTTGTTGTTCGAAAAACAAAAACAAATGTCGAGTGCACGCTAGCTAGCTAGTAGTTATGCACATACAAGCAAAGATTGCATGTATAAATTGGCACACTTTGCAGAGTTGGATTAATTTTTCTTTTACCAATAGTAGTCATTTCTGATGCAAAAGGCCGGGGGAATCCCTCATTTTCAAATAAAAACTTTATTAGCCGTTTCAAAATTGTAATCAAGTTCAATTTTGAGCAAGATGCGCTGCAGACAAATTACACAATGCCATTCGGATGGGAAATGGTAACCCACGGCTTAATTTGTTTATCCTGAAGCAAAGGAAAACGCCCATTTTGGGTCACTAGAATACTCTCTGAGAACTAGAAAGGATTGGCTGATAACTTTAAAACAGGTAGATGCATTACCTTGTTGAATTAAGTGGTTTGACTAATGATGCGTAGATGATTTTGCACACGTCCCAACCCATTAAAATATGGTAGAAAACATAAATTATAGAAATAAAAAATCAGAATATTATTAAAGCAAAAAAATAACAGTACTTAAAATCATGCAGCATTCTGAAAAAATAAAATGAAATAAATTCTACACAAGTTACCCAAAAACATGTGAAATGGCTAATGTTTTTAGGAAAAGGTCATAATATTATTAAAAAACAATTAACTAAAAGAAAACTAACACCAAATTTTTCTACTGTCGTGAATGTTTCTGAATGTTTGTATCCTTTACATTTTCTTAGGATTGTGTAATAGTTTTCCTTGAATTACCTGGATTTTCTAAGTTCTTAAGCAAAGTTGTAATGTAGTTTTCCTTTTTTTTTATTTCCTAAGAAATAATTATTACACGAACCATCAATTTTGAGCCAGCTTTCAAAGTTGATGGTCAAATTTGTCTTACTTTAGAAACTATAGATGAAATGAACTAAAGAGGGAGGAAATGAAATATACATTTTCTAGAGCAACTTTCTGTTAGACTATTAAGATGGTGGTTGTTAACCACAGCCCACAAGGGATCAAAGGTTAGGTTTGGCGTCATGTATGTCTCATTATGACAGAATATTATTTTACGAGTAGGCCACTTTCTCGTCGAAAGTAAGGCGCCTATGGTGTGGTCGATAATCTTGAACCTCCCTGCCATGTTAATGTTCATGTACAACTTGGGGTAATCTAGAAGAAGAGATGATTGTTTGAATGTTTTCAGCATTATGGTGATTCTTCATCTGATATGTCTTATTTTGCATGGAATGGTAACATGCTTCTTGCTATACTAAGGTGCACATACTTTTTTTTATCTGTTGCGATTTAATCAAATAAGTTATTCCTGTTATTTCCATACGACCCGAAGAAAAGGAACATTTTCTTAATCTCCAATATCCTTGAGAGGATTTATTGAGTGGCATAATATTGAGTAGGTACTTGAGTATTTCCACAATATTACATTGAAACAAAATGAGTAACTACATCTCTACAATACAAATTGCTAAGGAGTAACAACATGTTTATAAGAAAATTTGCAGCCAATGCAGACTACCAAGTATAATTTACAAGTATGTTGACAATGTCAACACCAACTTCGAGATGTGCGAGCACGCGTTCATCGGCGAGTAGCTCTGGCGTGAAGAGCTTTTTCCAGCCGGTGCACCATGCAGTGGCCTCCCCAAACGAGGGCTTTGCGGCGTGCAACCAATGTCGCAGCGCACTTTTCCATTTGTCGAAAAACAACTCGGCTTCTAGGATAAATACCATGTCTTCAACATGCACGAGAGGTGCCCATAGCATCAGCGTGCAGAACGAGGAGTCGATTTGCTTCGGCGGTGTGATCCTCAGGTTCCGTGTGAATTGTCCAGCTTCGGTAAGATGTGGCGTCGGCTGAAGGTATCCCATTGCGTTGGGTCAAGGTATTCCTTCCATGGCGAGACGATGTCGTAGCCGCCATTGCTTATCTTGCTTTCGACAATGTCATAGAGACTCTCCGGTAAGTGGTCGATGAGAGGAATCAATGGGTGAAGCCAGTGGTGACAGTCCGGATCCCACGATGGCATCCACTCTCGCGCATCCATGGCCATCCTCGGCATGATCACCTTCTCAATGATGTACCGCAAGGTGGAGGATGGCAGTGTGGCCTTCCACAACCCTAGCGCACGGTTCTCCTGGATCACCTTCTTGGACTTGACGATCGCCGCCAATGCGTCCGCCGTCTCCACGCTATCGTCCCCTTGAAGAGCCATGTCATGCAGCAATGAGAGGATCTTTTCGTAGCACTCTACTTCAAGACGCAGGGCTCGTGAAAGACCCTTCCACGTATGCCACTCCTCTTCCACAT